GTTCAATTCCTGGCTGAGGAAGTTCCCCTGGAGAAGAGATAGGCTACCCACGCCAGTATCCTTGGGCTTCCCTGGTGTCTCAGAAGGTAAAGAATCCACTGCAACGAGGGAGAGCTGGGCTCAGTCCCTGGATTGGGAAGATCTCCTGGAAGAGGAGCACAGCACATTCTGCGTATAAGTAAAATAAGCAGGGTGACAATATACAGCCTTGATGTACTCCTTTCCCAATTTTGAATCAGTCAGTTGTTTCATGTCCAGTTTTAACTGTTGCTTCTTGACCCACATACCAGCACCACAATTCAAAAACATCAGTTTTCAGGAGACAAATAAGACGGTCTGGTATTCTCATCTCTTGAAGACTTTTCCAGAGTTTGTTGTGATCCACACAGTCAAAAAGAACTGCCTACCACTCCTCAAAAATCACACACACACACACACACACACTCCCTAAGAACAGACAGTCCAACCCCAAAAGCAAAAGACAAGGACAGCGGCTCTCTGACTCCCAGTTCTGAGGAGTTTCTAGAAAGGAAGAGGGTTCCATTCCATCCTGTTCTACACCTTGCTCCAGCTTTGCACAGAGGGTAAAGAAGTTCTCCGCCAAAACCCAACACTCCCACGGAGGCAGCCAGTGGGCTTTAGCAATGAGGGTGTGAGGGACCGGGAGTTAGGGGAGTCCATATTTTGCTCTCTCACAACCCAAACATCACTTCTTTTCTTCTCTCATGTCTTAAAGAGGAAATGAGAGGGGCGAGGCGCTCGCGGTCTCCGACAGGAAGCATCCCTGAGTGCAGTGGGGGTTGAGGGGTGGAGGTTGGGGGGCGAGGGGTGGCGCACGCTCTGAACCCAGTGCTCTCGGTTTCGGCGGCAGCAGTTTCTCCCCGCCCGGAGGGGACAGGGGGCGCCCTCCGTCAGCCCCACTTTCCTTCTTATCCTGCAGTCGTGCCCTGCAACCTACGGCCGCGCGCTCCCGCCGACCTGCCCGCACCCAGCCCGCAGCGCCGCGCCTGGTAAGGGGACCCTAGAGGGGGTCCCGGGGTTCTGGGGAGGCGGGGGTGCGGGGGGCGGCGAGGAGCAAAGCAGGAGGGGAGCGGGGGCTGGGGAGGGCGTCTGGAGCCAGCAGTTGAGTCAGGGCTACTGACTTCTGGTGCGACCTCACACCGGTTCCATGCCTCTGGGCTCCCCCGTCAGTGAAACCCGGCGCCGATGGAGAGCGTTGTGGACAACAGCGGGTTCCCAGTGCGACTGAAGCGGGTTTGGGAACCGCTCACTCCACGTACACAGCCCATCGCTTTCCAAAGGGCTGAGATCTTTTCCGTGTCGTGTCCTACTTCTTAGCTCCTTTGATTTTCATAAGCTTCACAGGGTTTCATAGAGCTTCACTAATAGTCTCTTCCATTTGACAGATGAGAAAAACTGAAATTCACAAGCTGCCCTAAGTAGGTAGAGCGAACATCTTAAGTTTTAGCTTCTTCACTTCTCCAATACCACCCCCGGCCCACCCCTGACAAGCACCACCTCCCAGAGATGTCAGGGTGCAGGAATCCATTCCTAGGGCTCCTTAGGACGAGTACCCTCACTGAGTCACATGTTCTCAACAAAACCTCTCAGTGGACATTGTTTCAAGATCTTGATCTTCTGAAAACCACCCCATTCTCCCCCAGAGACACCATACGTTTCTTGCGACACGATGTAGAACTTGATTCTATGACAGAGAGACCCCAGCGTGTACAAGAAACATCCCTCGGTCTGCTGTCAACCCCCTGTGAGCGCCGTGTTATGAAATTATGATGCTAAACTGTGAAACCAGCGATGCTGGGAAACAGTGGGACCAGGGCACACCGGGAAGGAGAAACTCATGAATAAGGAAAATGAAAAATGTTTTAACCTTTCCTAAAACAGATACATGAGAGAGCCCGCTTTCTCATGGTTTGATAAAATAACGTATTGTCAAGATAACGTCAGATTCGCCCAATTTAAAAATCAGAAGGTATATAATGTTCATTTGCTTCAGCCTCCTCCCTAAATTAGATCCTCCTGCTGTTCCGGTCAAATACCCTTATAATCTCTGCTTGCAAATCGTCTCTATCATGATTCCTGATCCCGTTTGGGGAGGATTAAGATTTTCTTTGTGGAGAAAAAATCTGCCTCCATTCTTCATCCCCCCACTTTTCTCTGTTCTGCGATGGACACATGTCACATTGCTTCAGGTTTACAATGCTTCCAGATGTCTTCCTAGGCTTGATTCAGTCCTTTTAATATCCTGTCATTTTGGCATCTCCATCAGTATCCTTTCTGACTAGTCTCTGGACACTTTAGTATTTATTCATATCCACCCAAAAAAAAAAAAATCCATTCTTCAGTGGGATGTGTCTCCCCGGTGGCCTGACCCACTCAGAAGATGGTTTAGGAGGATGGTGCTGCACCTCTGCTCACCAACCAGAAAATTGACGGCGTTTTGTGGCAGCCACAGAGCTCCATTTGGGTCACACAGATCATCAAGCCACAGAAAAACACCAGATCGTTTAAAACTGAAATCCTTCCATTCTGAGCAACTTCTTCCCCCTGCAATTTTATGTTTGAATTTTTCTTAAAAATGCACCCAAAATTTTGCAATACACTTCTCTTTGTTGGTTTTAGGGCAAAACCCAACCCTGTTGGGTTCAGTTTTGTCTTGACCAGGGATGGCAACATGGTATGTGATGTTCCAAGAGGCTGGTTGACTTTGTAATCGCTTTTCTGCCCTGACAAATCTAAGAGAATATGCAGGCAAAATGTGTCATTTTTTGCTCTTAGCCTCATGGCAGTTGTGTGATCATGGGCAGATCAGTTAAGGTTCAGTTTCCCAATATTTTAATAGAAAATTTAATACCTATCTTGGTCACATCATAGGGAATTTTGAAGAACAATTAAAATAATGGGCATAAAAGAAACTTTAAAATTTAAAATAAATGCACAGAGGATTATTATGATGGTAAAGTTCATCAACATTGTCACCACTATCTTCGTCATTTTTACCACATTGATATACTGATTCCAATATATAATAAATCTCATCTGAGGTAGAAACGATGTCAGAGAATTTGTTCAGTTTTAGCAAAATCTTGAGTATAATTTATCAGAGGCAAGGACGGAATGTGGGAAAAGGTGGTGAAAAAAATGCTCTTCTGGGGGTGAAGGAAGGGAAAGGGGTGTGGGAGAAAAAGGAAAGATAGGAAGTTATCTTAATATATTCTAACAGTGTGACAAGGGATGGTTTCCCTAATGGGGACCATTTCTAAGCATCTCGACTGAGTGAATAGAAAAATGTAAAAAAGGTAATAATACCAGAATAAACCTAAATAAGCAAATCAGTTATGAAACCCATTCTGAATTCAGTGTTAATCAATAAAATGCAAGTTTAAACCAATTAAAACATAAGACATTCTAATGTATGCCCAAAAGGGTAACCAAAAAATTAAAAATCTAGTATTACCAAGTATAAGTGAAGATTTGAGGGATGCTCACATGTGACTACTGCCAGCCTGATAGCAAAAGTCTCTTGGAGTCGGACTTGGCAACATCTAGTCAGGTGGAAGCTGTCCATCTCAGAGATTCTCACATGCACAAGATGTGTGCAGGACTCTTCTGCAGCACTCTTGGTAGTAGCAAGTATGTATTTGGAACACCAAATGTTTGTTAAGAAAGAAGTGGATAAAATGTTACATAAATAATGTCACTTGCATAAAAGAGTAAAATACCAAAAAGTACTATATCTTAACTATAGACCAATGTGTATGTACAAGTGTAAATACACAATTGAGAAAGAAACATAAATATCTCAGAATACTGATTATGTCTGAAAGGAAGAGTGAGAATGAGACTGGGAAGTGGAAGAGTCAAAAAATAAAGAAATGGAGCTATATGAGTAATGCTCTTTTAGTGTTTTCAGTCCAACAGAATAGCAGCAATAACAATGCCAAAATACTGAGATTTGTTCACTGCAAATGGTGGGCATTCATTTCATTCCTCTGTGTATTTCTCTCCTTAAAATGTTTATTTCATGACTGCATAATCTTTAAGATTGACTAAATAAAATACAGGCTCAGAGTTCATCTTAATTATAGTTGCATATTGCATGCTTGCCTTTTCTAATGCATACTTATCTTTTCTAGCACCAAGAAGACTGACACAATAGCATGTCTCAACTGAATAAAACCTTTATCTCTATGGTTTTGCCAATTTCTGGTGACATCAACTAGGATTTTTTTAAGTGGCTATTGATTTAAAGACATTTGATTTAAAACTGAGCAGGCAATGACTTTATGCTGAATTTGTCCCAAATGTTGCTGCTGTCCCTCAGTCAGGGCACCAGTTTCTCTTCCCCCAGCTGCTCAGTGGGAGGAGGATGGTGACCATGTTGGCCCTCTCCCCCTTCTCCCTCTCGTGTCCATCCTCAAAGGAGCCCTGGACCCCAGTTCCACACTCCCACTGGGAGCTACATTGTACTTTCCCCTTTGCCACTGGGATGTCCATCTGATACATATAGTTTCTGGGACTGGAAATGCCCGGTACTTCAAACAAACCACTATTCATTTACAGTAATGCAACTTTCATTCTCTAGTCTAGCAAGTTTGCCTACCTTGATTCTAATAATAATAATAATAAAATAATAATAAAAAGTCCAGCTTCTCATTCCTAGAAGAAGGCTTTCTTTATTTCATGCCTTTTCAGTTTGAAAGGAGATAATCAGCTGATGTGTACTCAAACATTTCTTGCTTTCCTGTAGAATGAGAAACAAGCATGAGTTCACTGTGTTAACATATTCTAGCATCACCTGGCTTGCTTAAAGTTATATATGAATATTTGAAAGCAAAATAGAAGTTAGAAAGTTAGCAATGGAAATGCCTCATGAGAGGATAATTATTTTTGGCTGTCTGAATTGGAGGTGTTCTCAGGCCTTACCAAGTCCTATAAGGACACTTGCCTTTATTCCTTTCTTCTTTTTATTCCAGAAGTGAATGGAAGGGCTTCAGAGGAGCAGATACGGAACCATGGCCGAAGGTAAGAAACCCTCCAATTCCTCAGGCTCTCTGGGCACCAGGGGAAGATCACTGTCTTCAAATACTGAGACAGAAGAGAAACCCAATTATTTTAAACTGCAGAAGAAGAAAGCAGCTGTCGTGTTCTTTGAGCTTCCCTGGTGGCTCCAGCTGGTAAAGAATCCACCTGCAATGAGGAAGAGGTTGGTTCAGTCCCTGGGTTGGGAAGATCCACTGGAGAACGGAATAGCTAGCCACTCCATTATTCTGGCCTGGGGAATTCCATGGACTGTAGAGTCCTTTCCCTTCTCCAGGGGATCTTCCCAACCCAGGGATCAAACCCAGGTCTCCTGCAATGCAGGCGGATTCTTTACCAGCTGAGCCACAAGGGGAGCCCCAGTATACTCCATGGGGTCGCAAAGAGTCTCGGACACAACTGAATGACTTTCACTTTCATCTTGTTGTTTATCTTCTCTACCATCAGCACAGCCCACACACCCAAGTGTGAAGCTCTGCCCTTCGAGGTGATGTATGAGAAATGTGACAACAAAACTTCAAGTCAGAAGTCAGGGAATTTGGAACCAGATTGTGAAAATGTTTTTCCCTACCTATGCTCAGCTGAAAAGAGGGCAGCTTCCCCATGTGTGCATGCTAAGTCACTTCAATTGTGTCCAACTCTTGGCCACCCTCTGGGACTGTAGCTCACCAAGCCCCTCTGTCCATGGGATTTTCCAGGCAAGAATACTGGAGTGAGTTCCTCCAGGGGATCTTCCTGACCCAGGAATCAAACCTGGGTCTCTTGCATCTTCTGTATTGGCAGGCTGCTTCTTTACCACTAGTGCCACCTGGGAAGCCCAAAGTTCCCCCACAGAGATTTAGTAATCATGTCTGAAAAAAAAAATCCAGAATACTTAAGGAAAGGCAGAACCAACACAGAGTAAAAGGAGTAAAATAACAGATTTTGGGAGCCTAGAATGAACTTAATTCATTTGGGCTTATAAGAACTCCAGAAATGCTTGCATTCTCACTCTCTTCATCCCTAGAAGACTTAGTTCTTGGTACAGAGAGACCCTCGCCAACACCACTTATGTTATAATTTCCTGTAATTCTATCAGCCACATCAATGATCTTTCCAAAATATGTATTGCTAATGTTCTTATCTCTTCTTCAGCCACCCATCCAGGGTCATCTGTCAGACTCTGTCCCTGACATCAACCACAAGCCTTCTGTAGGCTCACTTTCCAATATTCAAATCCCTACCCTAAGAGCAGAAACCCAGGGACATTCAGCTGGTCCTCCGTGGGAGGTCACTGGGACTCTTAACATCTGAGACTTCCTTTACCCCCAGGGTTCAGATGATTGTTATGAGCAGTCTGTGTGCCTTGGAACTGATAATATTTTCTCATTTATGATTTATCCTCACCTCCTTGTAATTTCACCTGAGATTAGCATGAAACTGTCCTAAGTACCATCACAGGAAAAGAAAAGGATCACTTTTCTTTCTGAAAACCTGTGTTTTCGTTGGTCCTGAAGAAGTCCTTGGAGCATCCTTCATAGTGTAGCGGTTCTGGCTTTTGGGTATGGGTCCAAGTTTGGGCTCCCAATGTAGGCTTCCTACCAGTCAAGAGCCCCCTAAAGTTGTATGCAAACATCTGTATAATTTTCATATCACTGTTTGGCAGAGAGAGGTCCATAGCTTTCATGAGATACCATGAAAGGTCAGGGACAGAAAAATCTGGAGAATCACTAACTTTACCAACAAAGACCTACTGTATGTCACAGAGAACTCTGCTCAATAGTCTAAGTAATCTAAATGGAAAAGAATTTGAAAAAGAATAGATACACATGTAGGTATGACTGAATCACTTTGCTGTACACCTGAAACTGAAGCAACAATGCTCATCAACTTTTTGTTCAGTCGCTCAGTCACGACCTCCTCTGAAACCCCATGGACTGAAGCACACCAAGCGTCCCTGTCCTTCACCATCTCCCGGAGTTTACTCAAACTCACATCCACTGAGTCCATGATGCCACCCAACCATCTCATCCTTTGTTGTTCTCTTCTCCTCCTGCCTTCAGTCTTTCCCAGCATCAGGGTCTTTTCTACTGAGTCAGCTCTTCTTTGCATCAGGTGGCCAAAGTATTGGAGTTTCAGCTTCAGCATCAGTCCTTCCAATGAACACCCAGGACTGATCTCCTCTAGGATAGACCGGTTGGATCTCCTTGCAGTCCAAGGGACTCTCAAGAGTCTTCTCCAATACCACAGTTTGAAAGCATCAATTCTTCAGTGCTCAACCTTCTTTATGGTCCAACTCCCACATCTACACAGGACTACTGGAAAAACCATAGTTTTGACTAAACAGACCTTTGTTGGCATAGTGATGTCTCTGCTTTTTAATACACTCTCTAGGTTTGTCATAGCTTTTCTTCCAGGGAGCAAACATCTTTTAATTTCATGGCTGAAGTCACCATCTGCAGTGATTTTGGAGCCCAAGAAAATAAAGTCTCTCATTGTTTCCATTGTTTCCCCATCAATTTGCCGTAAAGTGGTGGGACCGGTGCCATGATCTTAGTTTTTTGAATGCTGAGTTTTAAGCCAGCTTGTTATCTGCTCCAAGAGTAAATAAAAATTTAAAATTAAAGGGAAAAAAAAGAATCACTACCATGGTAAAACAAGAAAATTCTTTTTCTTTTACAGGCGGGATAGAACACCAGGGCTTTGAACCCTCCTCCTCATTGAGGATCATCCTGGTAGGGAAAACAGGCAGCGGGAGAAGTGCCACCGGGAACAGCATCCTCTGCCAGCCCGTGTTTGAGTCCAAGCTGGGGGCCCAGTCAGTGACCAGGAAGTGTCAGAGGGCAACAGGCACGTGGAATGGGAGGAGCATCCTGGTGGTGGACACGCCCCCCATCTTTGAGGCTGAGGCCCAGGATCAAGAGGTGTACCAGAACATTGGATCCTGCTATCTGCTGTCAGTGCCAGGGCCCCACGTGCTGCTGCTGGTGACCCAGCTGGGGCGCTTCACCAAGCAGGATGCGGTGGCCATGACCAGGGTGAAGGAGGTCTTTGGGGCGGGAGCCGAGAGATACATGGTCGTCCTCTTCACCCACAAGGAGGACTTGGCGGGCGGATCCTTGGATGAGTACGTGGCAAACACAGACAACCTCAGGCTGAGGAGCCTGGTCCGGGAGTGTGGGCGGAGGTACTGCGCCTTCAACAACCGGGCCTCCGGGGATGAGCAGAAAGAGCAGCTGGCCCAGCTGATGGCCGTGATCGAGGGGCTGGAGCGGGAGCACCAGGGCGCCTTCCTCACCAACGAGCTCTTCTTTGATGCACAGATGCTCCAGCAGATGGGGGGTGGCGCCCATGGAGAAGGTTACAGGCACTACCTGGACAAGGTACGGCTGCAGGTTGCAAAGCAAAAGCAAGAGCTGAAAGAGACTGAGAGAAACTGTGCCTTCAAGGCGCTCCTCCGACTCAAAGCCTGGATCGTTTCTCATGCCAAAATATTTGTTCTTCTTGTCCTATGCCTTTTTATTTTTCTTGCCATTGTAATTATTTTGTCTAGTACCCATCAAGGTTGAGCATTTTCAGATGACATCTGCCGTCAGCTTCCATTTTTTTCAGAGTCAGTACATCACCAACTCAATGGACATGGGTTTGGGTGGGCTCCGGGAGTTGGTGATGGACAGGGAGGCCTGGCGTGTTGCAGTTCATGGGGTCGCAAAGAGTCAGACACGACTGAGCGACTGAACTGAACTGATATATATCTATATTGGTCAGGAACTTTATTTGCTTTTTAAATAATTTCACTTTCAATTTCACTTCCTTGCATCAGACATACCATCCCTTTTCTTCAGTTGCTTTTTAGGTAAATAAAATGCAAAGGAGGAAAAAAATCTCATTCTGTTGTGTTAAAAATGGTGAAGGCAAATAATAAACTAAATCCACAACATCAAGAAATATCGAGGAGTTTGCGTAAAGGAAAGTAAGTGAACTGACATGCTGTGTGAGCGAGCATCTCACCGGGGACCTACTTTTTACAGTTGAAATTGCTTATTTTATATGAAACATACTCTGATTTCCTTGTAGGTTGTAAAAAAAAATAATTATACACTCCACAAGAGAGAAAGACTAGGGTGTTCTGGGACTTCTCTGGGGTGTGAAGAGGCTGGGGGATAAAGGAAGAAGGCCCTGGAGATGGGTGGGGAGGAAGATCTCCGCATAGCCAGACACTGGGAAATTAAAGAACCAGAAATCCTTAGAACAGAGATGGACAAGAGCCAGATGGTGAGTGTAGGAATTCAGACTTAGCCAGCCATCTGGTCTCCTTCAACACCCAACCGTCCTCTTGAGCACAAAAGCCACCCTGGACAAGAAGGAAGTGACCTGCAAGGCTGCATTCCCTACAAGTTTAGAAATTTGAATTGCATGAACTTTTCATATGTGGCGATGAAACATTCTGCTTCTTTTGATTTATTCACGCTTTAAAAAAATGTAAAAGCCTTCCTCAGCTCACAGGTTATACAGAACTGGCCTCAACCTGGATTTGCTCTGCAGGCTGTGGTTTGCCCACTCCCGTCTTAGAAGAGATTTTCTATCATGGGTTGAGCTGGGATGTAGTGGAACATCTTGAACCCCAAGGTCAGCACAATTGTGGTGATACCTGTAGAAATTTGGGGAAAGGGTGACATTGCACATTTCAGTGGTAGAAAAAGAGTAGCAGGCAGACACTGGGATGAAGTGTGAGTGGTGGTCACCAAGTCAGTGGAAAGAGGAAATCAGATGAGGAAGGGTCTGGGTGACCCCTTCCCAACTTCTCCTTCTATGGGATAGCTGCCCATCCCTTCGTACCCCCTCCCTCCAGGACTGACTTCAGGCAGAGGGAGCAGGCAAGCCATTCAGTATCACAGTAATCCAAGTCTGTGTCCCAACCAGTAATGCTGGGTCAGACAGGAGATTGCGAATCACTGGAGGAGTCAGGGAGGGACCAGGCTGGGCGAGGCCCTAGGCAAGTTCAAAGGCTTTCTCCCCGAGGTTTTTAAGCAGGTTAGGAATTTCAGGAAGATCACGCTGCAGCAATGTGGCAGTTGGACTAAATAAGTGTGAGCCTAGGAACATGGCTTCACACCCAGAAGAAAAGAATTCCATCTCAGCCATCCATCGGGGCCTGGGCCATAATGGGAAGTGTGGGGATGGAGAGGACATGACAGGAATGGGGACACTGAGGAGATGAGTTGACACAGAGTGGCACTGATATCAAGGTCGGGAGGGAGCCAGCTTTCTGTCTTGACCACCCGGGGACCCTGGCTCCCCCTACTGCCTGGGCCCTCAGAGGAGACTGGGCTGAGCAGAGGAAGGCGGAGACTTCAGATCTGGTGGAGTCAACCTAGAAGCCCTCTGGGCTGGGCTATCTCCTCCTCCCTCCAGGGAAGGCACTTTGGACCAGGGAAACTCACTTAAGAAAGTATTTGGGAGTAGGGCTGCGGGAGGGTGGCCTCCCTCCAGGGATGCAGATGAGTGGTTCCCAGGCCTCACGGCAATGAGAAAGCATCTCTCACCCCAGGAGCAGCGTTTCTCAGTGATCCAGATGGCATTCCTCCTTTGTTGACTTTCTAGGGGAGTAAAGCTGGAGGGTGATCCCAGGAATATTTTGCCATAGAGGAGACAGTGTCGTGCTCCACCTTGAATCACACATGGATGTTCCCCAACATAACCTCTTGGAAAGTGTTCAAATATGAGCACTGAATCTCCCTCAAAAGGTGAAGGAAGCACAGAAAAAACCACCTGGGGGCATCCCATTTCCTCGGCCCCTCCTTTTGTCATTTTCAGGATAATTCATTCCAGGGGTTTTTCACATTCTTGGGATGCAGTGAATTTCCTTGAGGTGGGAGCTTTAGATATAGGCAGAGGTCTCCCCTGTCACCTGATAAAAGAGAAATTCATTTATTTATTCTCAATTCACTTTTTTGGCAGGAAGCATGAAAACATGGGTGTTCTGATAAATTTCAGGATTTCTTTTAAAGAGATATGAAGAACTCTTTATTAGTTCAAATGTTTTCAAGTGCAGGTAAAAGAGACCCCCAACTCCAATGGCTTAAGTAATAAGGGAATTTATTGGCTGACAGAATCAGAAATCAGAGATGGGGTGGGCTTCAGGGCTGGTTGATTTAGGGTCTAGGGTTGATTCCATTACTCTGCTCAGCTTTGAAATGTTGGGCAAGTTGGCCGTGGAGAAAAAGAGAGTAAGCCAGGCATTCAGGCAGAGAAAGATTCATTATAGGAAGAAAGAAAGAAAGAAACTGGCTTTAGAGAAAAACCAGTGCCCTCCCTTTACAGCCAACCCTTCTTATACCTTATTGATGGGTAATTGTGCCCTGAAGAGAGGGGGCCTTAATTTATCTTTAGCCTGCAGGTGGGGTCTTGTGGTCACATAGTTGAAGGGGTCTCAAAGTTGCGGGGTCACATAGTCTTGAGAAATTAGCACCAGCAGGGAGAAACAGGATATTGCCTTCAGGAAAAACACGACTCCCACCAGGCCAATGTGGCCACTGTGACTTCATCTCTTGTTTGTCAGGGCACCACAATGGGCCATATTTTAACTATATGCTATGAGCCCCTTGTGAACCCTAACATTTTGCCTTCAACCTCACATGGCTGCTGTCTTTCCATGCCTTGCACTCAGATGCCATAGTGTCCTGAGGAAGAAGAGGCTGTCTCCCTATGGGGGTCTCTGCTGGGCAAGGAGACACTCTCTGGCCCCACCTCTGCAGACTTTTACTCACTTCCCATTGGCCCAACTTTGGTCTCAGGCCCTTGACTGAGCTGGTCACTGCAAAGAAAATGTGACGGTACATACACCAGCCAGGGACCCCTGAAACTCAGTCGTTGTCTTGCTCTGAAGCACATGGCTTCACCAAGGAAGCTGTGGAGGCATGAACCAAGCCAGAAATCTACAAGGAAGGAGGGTTGGGGGAGCTGCAGAGACGGCAAACCATGTCCTCAGCAGACCAGGAGACTTTATTTCTGAATTAAACAATGAATCCATGAGGTGATATTTGAGAAATGGCTCTGCCACACAGATGTCACACAGAATTAAAGCTGGTACAGGATGATCAGTAGAATAAGAAGAAAAAGTAAACTGCACCAAGCAAGACAAACACAAAGCTCATAATTTAAAGCGATCCAGGCTTTGAGTCGGAAGACTGTCTTGAAGGCCCAGTTTCTCTTGGCCTCTTTCAGGCCTTGCTTTTGCTTTGCAACCTGCAACTGCACCTTGGCCAGGTAGCGCCTCTGACCTTCTCCATGGGCGCCACCCCCCATCTGCTGGAGCATCTGTGCATCAAAGAAGAGCTCATTGGTGAGGAAGGCGCCCTGGTGCTTCCGCTCCAGCCCCTCGATCACGGCCATCAGCTGGGCCAGCTGCTCTCTCTGCTCATCCCCAGAGGCCCGGTTGTTGAAGGCGCAGTACCTCCGCCCACACTCCCGGACCAGGCTCCTCAGCCTGAGGTTGTCTGTGTTTGCCACGTACTCATCTAAGGATCCACCATCTAAGTCCTCCTTGTGGGTGAAGAGGATGACCATGTATCTCTCGGCTCCCGCCCCAAAGACCTCCTTCACCCTGGTCACGGCCACCACGTCCTGTTCGGTGAAGCGCCCCAGCTGGGTTACCAGCAGCAGCACGTGGGGCCCTGGCACCGACAGCAGGTAACAGGCTCCGATATTCTCATACACCTCTTGATCCTGGGCCTTGGCCTCAGCCTCAAAGATGGGGGGCGTGTCCACCACCAGGATGCTCCTCCCATTCCACGTGCCTGTTGCCCTCTGACACTTCCTGGTCACCGACTGGGACGCCAGCTTGGTCTCAAACACGGGCTGGCAGAGGATGCTGTTCCCGGTGGCACTTCTCCCGCTGCCTGTTTTCCCTACCAGGATGATCCTCAACGAAGATGATCCTGGATTTAGGCTCTCTCCTCCTCCACCTGTCACAGCACATGAAAAGTTAATGTGCAATCCTTGTGGACTGAATGTGTCCCCCCAAAAAAAATTCATATGTGAAACACTGATCCTCAACGTGATGGTCACTGGTGGTCAGGTCTTTGGGAGGTGATGAGGTCTAGATGAGGGCATGAGGATGAAACTCCATGATGGAATTAGTGTCCTTCTAAGAAATCAAGGATTATATTCATTAGAAGGACTGATGCTGAAGCTGAAGCTCCAATATTTTGGCCACCTGATGCAAAGAGCCAACTCTTTGGAAAAGACCCAACTCATTGGAAAAGGCTGGGAAACACTGAGGGCAGGAGGAGAAGAGGGCAACAGAGGATGAGATGGTTGAATGGCATCACTGACTCAATGAATGTGAGTTTGAGCAAACCCTGGGAGATGGTGAAGAACAGGGAAGGCTATCCAGGACAGGCATGCTGCAGTCCTTGGGGTCGCAAAGAGTCGGACACCACTTAGCGACTGAACAACAACAAAGAAAAGAAAGAGACTGCTCTCTGTCCATCAGATGTGGACACAGCAACCAGGAGGTGGCTTCTCCCCAGAGACCAAATCCCCCACACCTTGATCTTGGACCTCCCAGGCTCCAGAACAGTCAGAAATAAATATTTCTTGGTTACCACACAGTCTCTGCTATTTGTTTTAGCAGTTTTAACTGACAAAAAGAGTAATACATGCCTCTTGAGGAGGAAGGGAACAAAAGAAAAAAAAGGAAAAGATCTCAAAGGACTGGCACACCTGGATCAATTTGGCTATCACACCCTTTATTCTCACCATGGGCCTGGGCTCAGAGTAAATATTCTTATATAGAGAAAAAGGGAGCTCACACAGGGCTGGTAGAATAAATCACCCAGGATGGCCAAAGTCTTTAGGATTGATCTTTCCAGGATGCTGGACTCTCCAACCTTTCCAGAACCTTCTCCCTATTCAGTTCCCACCCAGAAGTCTTTCTGATGCTCCGAGCGTCCTATAACCACTGAATTAAATATTCATCCCATACTTTCAACTCCTCCCATCCCTGCCTGGTCTCCGTTTTATCACATGGCAGAGTTTTCTATGAAAAAAAACATATCCTCAGTAAGGAGAGTATGACAGCAAATAGCCTAGTAAGTTCTATTTCCTGGGGAAATACATTTTCTTTGTCTTCAGGTGACTCTAGTCTTGTACCTTGCAGTGCAGGTGGGAAGTTGGCTGCCCCCGTGCTGTGCTCATGGCCCCCCAGTGTCATGAAGGTCTCCTCCAGACCTTACCTGTGGTGCAGCTGTCTCTTCCACCCTGCCGAAACCTTTCCATTTTGTTCTAGGGAGAGAACAGGCAAGGATTGTTCAGACTGGAGTTGGATGTGACATCCAGCACAAAAGACCACATTTTATAGACAGGAGACTGAAGGGGGCAAAAAACAACTGCTGAAGGTCAACATAATTTAAAGGATGTGCTGAGACTAAAACCGAAGTCTGCTGACCCTCTGTCACTCTTGGCACTAGATCGAGGCTCCTAGTGAAGAGTATATAAGACAGTCCCAACATGAGAGCACCGACACGTGGTTTCCCACCACTGTATTTAGTTACTGACAAGATGCACTGAAAAACGTGTTGTCCACCCAGAAAACCAAACATGGAAGCTGGTCATTTCCTGGCATCCTGGCTCTCTGCCTTGAGGGTCTCAGTCCTGTCCTGAATTCCAAACTCAAGATTGCCTGGCAAAGTTCCTCCCTTTGGTAAGTTCACAAAAGAAGCTCTTCCCTAAGTTCTTCCATGGTGATCGTGGTGTAGAGGGTCACCAATCATCCCAGTTTGCCCTGGACAGAGAGGGTCCCCTGATCAAAGGAGCATCAGTGTTGAAACTGGGAGAGTCCCAGGCAAACTGGGACGTGTTGGTCATGACAGAAGCAGGAGATGGTAATGAGTCCAGGTGGGCAGGAGGGTGGACCAGACATCCGGTAAACAGAGGAACACCTGATTTGTTAGGTTCAGATCAGCTGTTGTTACCAAAGATCTACGCTTCTATGTTCTCAGCTCAAACAGTCCTAGACCAGTAACTACCTCAGAGCCATCTCTCTTGCGCCCACTCTCCTTCTTTCGCTGTCCCCCATATGCCTTTTTCTTGATCTTTCTCTTTCTTCCCACCTCCTACTTCTTGTGCTCAGTGAGGGCGTCCACTGAGGCCCCACCCAAGGATGACTACTCAAGCTTCATTACTGAGAAAGTTCTTCACAACCCTTTCCAAAACTACATCAGAACCTTGCTGTGTGCAAACTTTTAGAGTATTTTCTAAAGCTCAAAGAGTTAATGCTAAAGAATGAATCTCTAATTGTGGAATTTCAGCATCTAGGACAGATGAACCAAAAAAAAAAAAAGTTTTGGAATAAGTGAATTTCCTCCACCATCCATGGGATCACACCATACAGAGTATTATCTAACCTCTCCATCTGTGAAATTGGCTGCAATGATTACCTTTGAAGGAAAGTCAACATTCAGCTTCTGTCAGTTTCCTGATAATATTTTGTAATTCATTCTAATGGTATTGTGTTTTTCAAGCCAAAAGACAATTCTGCCTCAAGACTTCATTGTCACCTCCTGCCTGAGTTTCCAGCCTGCCAGTCTGCCCTACAAATTTCAGACCTACCATCCCCCATAATCGTGTGAGCCAATTCCTTCAATTAAATTTCTTCATACATATATCCTATTGGTTCTGTTTTTCTAGAGAAAACTGATACATCAATTCAGCTAATTCTCTATGTTGAAACTCAGAAAAGGAACAAACCTGAAAATAATTCTTATCTTTGGCTGGATCTTTTCAAGGAGGATTTTTAAACATATTGCATAGGGGTGGCAAATGGGAGAACCAGGTTTTATTTTAGGTATCAGCTTGTTTTCTGTGCTGATGATCTTGAAACCAAGGTGTTCTATTTTCTCACATACTGCCCTTGGGTCATCTTGAATGGTGGTCTCCAGAGAGGACCACCGAGGAGGGGCTCCCGAGCATCTGAAGGTACCACACAGGTGCCAGGTAAGTGACTAGAGTGATGAGGGGCAGAGAAGGTGATGCTGAAAGACCTGCAGAAAGGGGAACTGGAGCGGGGGTGGCTGGAGATGATACGCCTGGACTCATAGAGAAATCAAATTATGCTGTCCACATCTTTTAAATATGAGGAAACTGAGGCTTCAGGGGGTAGGTAATACAGCAATGGCATGAAGCAGCCTGCACCCAGGACTGGTGTTGAAGGGATATCAGAGAGAGATGGCAACTCTTTCGCTCTGTCTCCTGGCCAATTTAGAATGCAGGCAGTACCAGAGCATGCCACCTGCCCTGCGTGTTGGAAGAGACTGGTCCCCTCGGGCTGCCCCTAAGTCCCTTAGGAACAGGTCAAGCAGAGCTATTCACATGGTATGTATGACCAAGCAACTGGTAGCCAGCCATCTCTTCCAAGAATAAGAAGCTTAAATTGCTGCTCTCTTTGAGCCTAGCCTGAGCAGAAAGAGAAGTTTTTTTAAAAGGTGGCGGGGGGGCCTTCTCAAGAACCATCTTTCTCAACTATTTTTTGAAGATTTATTTCTTCTCTCTAGCTTAGTGTAAATGGCCACACCTCTGATGAGAAGGCTGCCACCATGTCCCAGCTGCACCCTCTCCCCTGATCTGTCCCCTGAAGACCCCTGTGCCCATCAGTCCCCTCCCAACATCACCATCACCATGCGGAACACCTGCCAACAACCCAGCTCCCTCGCTTTAAAGCCATCATCCCTTCATTCATTCATTTAAGCGCTACTAAACACTTCTCTTCCTACACTTGGAAGACAGCTGGACCAGTTTAGAGAACAACTCCTTGCAGAGACTGGGAAAGAAGGTGATTCCTTCTACCATGCTTGGATAACCCTACTTGCCACCACATCTCCACTGGGCAGAGCTGAAAGGGGAACATGAGGACGGCAAAGATAGAGGCACCCTTGCGAAAATTGTGAAACTGATTCAGTTTCAGGAAAATACAGAAACTGGCCTGAAATGGACCAAAAGCTGGGCAGATTATCTTACTCTTTGCCAAAAGCATTCGGAATCTCCTCCTACTGGCCCCATAGGAGAGTGGTGGAGAGTGTGACACCCTGATTCAGAATCATAGACAAGGTAGCATGGTGAGACACTGTTCCCATCACAGGGAGCCAAGCAGGATAATCCTCCAGGAATAACGCCCTCATGACCCCATTCTGGCTAATGAAGGAGATAAATCATTTTTAAACCTGTAAATTGTATTTCTTTCTCAGAAATAAAGTACATGCTTTACCTGAGCAGATATCTTGAATCCTGTTCCTAAAAATTTCTCCCCTCTTGAAAATAGAAATTTTTCTTCCAGTTAAGCAGTGTATGCAACAGAAACAAGCAACAGATAGTTGGGGAGTTTGTGGTGGACACATACCCACTGCTAGGTTTTAAATGGATAGCCAATAAGGATCTACAGTAGAGTCCATGGAACTCTGTTCAATGTTGTGTGGTGCCCTGGATGGGAGGGGAGTCTGAGGGAGAATGGATACATGTGATTGTATGACTGGGTCCCTACACTGTTCACTTGAAACTGTCACAACATTGTTTGTTCATTGGCTATACCCCAATACAAAGTAAAATTAAAAAGTAAATAAATAAAAATTAGCCACCAACATTCTAAAGATAAGGGATTTCACCTTTAAAAATCTGAATTTATGTGGTTACCAGTGGAAAAACTGGGGCGGGGTGGTGGGGGGGAGGAACAAATTGGGACATTGGATTGACATATATACACTAATATATATATATTATATATATATATTATATATAGATAGATAGATAGATAACAAATGAGGACCTAATGTATATAACACAGGGAACTCAACTCAATACTCTGTAATGAACTATATGGGAAAAGAATCTAAAAAAGTGGATATATGTGTATGTATAACTGATTCATTTTGCTGTATAGCAGAAACTAACACAATATTGTAAATCAACTATACTCCAATAAAAAAAATTTTACATCCAAAACAAAAAAGAGAGAGAGAATCAAAAGACATCAAGTCAGATTAAAATAGCAAGGCAATTTTTCAGCCCGTTTTTCAAAGGACATCCTGTGACTTCAGGGAGCAGGTCAGACCCTCCTCCCAGCAATGTGCAGAAAATTCGATAGGTCCTGGTGGCTCAGACAGTAAAGAATCTGACTCCATTGCAGGAGACCAAGGTTCGATTCCTGAGTGGGAAAGATCCCTTGGAGAAGGGAATCACCACCCACTCCAGTATACTTGCCTGGAGAATCCCATGGACAGAGGAGCCTGGTGGGTTACAGTCCATGGGGGGTCACAAAAAGTCAGACTTGACTGAGCAACTAACACAGACATGCATGAAGCAGCCACTATGTGCATATGTGAAAATGCTTTTGCACAAGCACAAGAAATAAGCAAGCTAGTATCACCAGAGGGCTACTGTCTGAGCTCATTATGCTCCATATTTTAGGTTCTGAAATGTGTGGACTTCCCCTATGGCTCAGCAGGTAAAGACTCTGCCTGCAACATAAGAAATACAGGAGATGTGAGTTGGATCCCTGGGTTGGGAAGATCCCCTAGAGGAGGAAATGGCAACCCACTCCAGCATTCTTGCCACTATTACACTAGTCTGATGGATTGATACAATCATTTCTGAAAAGTACAGTACCAGTAATATTTTCTCTTGCAGTAAATTTGCGGCTTTAGGCTACATAATTCCTGACCCTAATAATTTTGAAATAATGAAACTGAGGCTTTGAAAGATCAAGTGTGCAGGCTGACCCAGACTGTTACTGGGAGAACCACGTTGAGAGGGAGGGAGGGGGAAAGAGAGAGAGACAGAGAGAAGAACAAACCTTGTCACCTGCTAGATGCTGCAAAGTTCTGCAAGTTCTCAGACAATCTTGCTGCAATCTTCCTTCCTCTCCAGGCAGCCTCTTTCTTTGGCTTCTAGTCTCATCACAAAAACACAAGATCAGTGGGTGATGAAAAAAACCTGGCCACCGATCCTATCTACCAGAGACAGAGAAGGACCAGTCCCCCAGGGTAGGCAAAGAACAACGCATGGGTTTCCTCACCAAGCCATCCTTGGAGAATGATTCAAATGACCTCAGAGGCAGATACACCCAAAGAAGAGGGTTTTTTTTATTTTGGTTTTGTTTTCTTTTTAATAACATGCCATTTCCTTCTCCCCACCACATCTCTATAAGGCTTTTGTGCAAAACAAGTTCTCTACCTGAGTTAGTCTGGAGACCCAGACTAACATCTGGGGCATAGATGCACCCCAAACCAAGTATTTGCCACCTTTCACTGGCCTGAAGTGGACCAACAGGCATCTCCGCTCATCCACCATTTACCTCTTCTGCATAGATAGTTCTTATATGTAACTCCAGACGGCAGCGAAGGCTGAACTCAAGCAGGCATCTTGCTTGAGATCTTCTGTGGATCTGGGCCTCTTGTTTCTCTGTCAAATGCCCTGCCCTCAAGTTAGTCGTGTTTTGACTTGCATGCATGCTAAATTGTCTCAGTCAAAACCGAGTCTTTGCGACTCTATGGACTGTAGCCCATCAGGCTCCTCTGTCCATGGGATTCTCCAGGCGAGACTACTGAACTGGGTTGCCGTGCCCTCCTCCAGAGGATCTTCCCCACCCAGGGATCAAACCCATGTCTCTTATGTCTCCTGCATTGTCAGGCAGGCTCTTTACCACTAGCACCACCTGGGAAGCAAGGTGCGTACTCATGCAAATTACCATGGAAGTTGGAGTCCGATAATCTTCTGTGTAGGTTTTTTTACTACTCACATATGAAAACTATCTGAGATTGAACCCATGCCTCCTGAAGCTCCTGCATTGGCGGGAGGATTCAGGGGGAAGCAAAGTTTGGTAGATTTCTTCATCTGGGTGGACTTGTATTTCCATGGAAGCCAGGGACACATCTGTCCCCACCCACAGTATGATCTAGGCAAAGTGACAAGTATTTAAGGGTATGCCCTGGTGGCCTCCCGCTTCCTCTGCTTCCAGGCAAAGGCCCTGCTGGGGGCCTCAGGCTGAAGCACCTCTCTGGAGACATTCTTAGGGTGAAGGGGGCATTACCAGCCCATTTGGGTTCAGATCAACTCTGGGAAAGCAACACTAAATGGGACATAGAGATACAGGTAACTCTTGGTTCATTTGCTTAGCTTGCAGAAGTGTGCTAAGTCATTTCAGTCGTGTCCCACTCTTTGCAACCCCATGGACCATAGCCAGTCAGGCTCCTCCAGCCATAGAATTTTCCAAGCAAGAATACTGGAGTGGGTTGCCATTTCCTCCCCCAGGGGATCTTTCTGACCCAGGGATCAAACCTGCATCTCCTGTGTCTCCTGCATTGCAGACGGATTCTTTATTTGCTCAGCCATAATGCAGTTTAACACCCACATTTCACATTTACAGTGAAAGTCACACTTAACTTACAAACTATCCATCCATATTAATGCTGTAATTTTAACTTTTCAAATAATACTAACTGTTACACTGAATGTGGTGGATACATGCCCTCCTACCGTAAAGGACAGAAAAGCTTGCTTTTAACATACAGAAGACATTATTTTCTCTTTGCTAGCTAGAAAAGCCTCTGATATCTCATTCTTGCCCAGGGCGGGGGTGGCATGAGGAGAAGAGAGTTAAAAATCAACTCTTCTAAAACAAAATTCTTTTGCTACACATTTAACTCTTAACTGGTTTATCATGAATATTTTTATGCCTGAAGTCAACTTGTTCAGTCATCTCAGCACATATTTTGCAAATACTTGGGACATTGCTCAAAGGAATCAAATCTACATCTTCCTTGTGAGTTTTAATGGTTAAGGTAACCTGGTCTTTTCACCTGTCTTAAGCTACTGGTGCCCCATACCATAAAGACTACAGGTCGTGACTAGCTACTTTCTGTGCATTAGAGAAAATGCAAATTAATCATTGAAAAAAAAATCATCTTGGTTCTGTCTTCAGGCATTTTCTCAGCTACAGCAAAGGGTGAGATGGGATGGCCTTCTATTGGGGACAGTTGTACACTTTTTCCTCTAGACAGCCTCTTTATACTCTTAGCTGGTATTTTCTGTTAAATTGTATGTGTTTTTCTCATTGATTCAAGAAAAGCCTTTATTTATGACTCAAGAAAGCAAAAGATTATCTATCCTATATAACAACCATTAACACTCCTTCTCTGCCCCTTTCTTTTCTTTCTTTAGAGTTTTAGGGCTATTCAGGACTCCTCTTTTTCATTCTGCATTAGCACTTGGAATTCTAGTGATGGATCTTCAAACCATGTATTAGTCGTTCAGTCATCATGTCCAGCTCTTTGTGACCCCATGCACTGTAACCCACCACGCTCCTCTGTCCATGGAATTCTCCAGGCCAGAATACTGGAGTGGGTTGCCATTCCCTT